TATCTCATCCATGTTGCATAGCTTCTGCAAGAGCAGGGGCTGCTGGGACTTGGGGTGGGGAGAGGAGTGGAGCACCCTTTGGGTCCCATCCAATCCCATGTTAGCCTCTGGACCAGCCCCTTGGTCTTGCTGGACCTGGGACCCTGATTGCGTCTGGAGGTATCAGCCTGGCCTGGGGACGGGGTGAGGGAGCAGGCGCTGGGCCCCCCGGGCACCAGACCCCCACCCTCTTAGCTGTCTGCATCCCAGCAGTCAGCCCCCTCCTCCTTTTTTTCTTTCCCTCATTTTGACAGAGACACGGAGAGGTGGTGATGCTTTTTGTTCAGTGGTGAATAAAGTGATCTAAAAAAAAAATTATTGTCCACAAGAGACTGATAAGTACAGAGCAGATAATAGGTGAGCTCTCCTCCTGACAGCCTCCCCCAGAGGGCCCTTGAATGCCAACAGCTGCTGCCGAATCCTTTCCTGCTCCCCCACACCTCACAGTGGGGGTGGGGCGGGCCTCTGTCCCTCAGCCCTGGACTGTGAGCCCGGCCCCCCATTTCCCCAGCCTCTTGATGGCCGCATCCCAGGAAGCGGCACCGTGGGGCGGTGGGGTGGGGAGCAGGGCACAGCTTTAGAGTCCGGGCATCTGAGCACCACATGGGGCACACAGGCTATGCCCAGGAAAGAGTGAGTGGTCAGGTGGGTGGCAAGGTCCCACCGGGGTGGCTCAGTAGGTCTCAGCTGCCACCACAGCTGGCTCCTTGGAGGGGATGGCTGTGAGGGGAGGCTTCTCCAACACCTGGAGAGCCCAGAAGCCTCTGCTCTCCACTCAGAGCCCTGACCCCCCAGCCTCACCGGGGGTCCTTCGCCTCAACCAAGGAGCCTGGCTGGGGGCTGCCATCAGGAGAGGGTGCTGGGCCCTCTTCTCATCCCATTCTCGGCCTCCTGATATTGGAAACTCCAGGCCCACCTCCCCCCAGCTTGCCCACCCAGGCCCTGCAGAGTGGTGCGTTGGCCACCCCTTAGGGTGCTCCTGTGAGCACTGGCGAGCCATGAATGAGGAGGGGGCATGCCCAAGCAAGTGTTGCCCACAGGGGTGGGCCAGACAGGCCATGCATTGGGGTGGGGCTGCCTTGTCCTCTGGGGTTCCTTTTACCCAGGATGGTACCCCTCCTCTGGGTACCCCAGGCAGGCCACCCTCAGCTGGCTCGGTTCCCTCCCCCTCTGCCAGCCCCTAGCCCAAGGACTTTAACCTGTCCCAGAAGCCTGTGGGGCACCAGCTGCCTTGTCTTGTGGGTTCCCTGTTAACTCATCCCTTCCTGCTATTCAAGCCAGGCCCGTAGGATTCAGAACCAACCCCACAAGACAGCAGTAAATCTGGCTCGTAATTTATCTTCTTAAGCGAGGTCTCGTATATTTATTATTCATCACCCACAGCAGATGGGGAGAACTGAGGTGGTTCCGCCCTTTCCTGGACACCCCCTCTTCCCCATCCCCAGCCTTCTGAGCCCTGGCAAATTCCCCCTTCTTCCTCAGGCCCCCAGCCCTGGAGTGGGTTGGGTTTTTAGACTTTTTCCCTGCAGCTACAAATCAGGAAACCGGGTCATAAAACCACCTTGGATAAGTAGGTGGGCTGGAACCAGCAGCCTCTGAGCGGCGGCTGCTGGGGAGCAGAAAGACCCCCTCACTTCCCGCTTTCTCTTCTTCCTCCCCCTCTCTCTCCTTGGAGTCCTCCCACCCTCCCTCTCTTGGGAGAAAATTCCAGCTGCTGCCTTCCCCCCACCCCCCTCTTCAGGCATCACCCCCAGCTGCCGCTGCTCTGGCCCACGTGTGTCCATTTCCCTGACTGAGCTCCAACCCAGGGTCTGGAGAGGCTTGGGCCCTAGTGACCTCTCCCTAAGGCTGCCCAGGGGACAGTAGTTGCCATGATGACAGCCAGTGGCTCATGACATCATTGCCCATCCGTGGACTTACCCAAGGTGGGTCTGGCTGTTTAAAGGTGACGGTGAGGCCAGAATAGAAGTGGGGTCCTGCCTTGGGTCGCAGGGCCACACGGACTGCAGGGGAGCTTGGAAATGAGCGCCGCAGCACCCCCTCGCCCCACAGCAGTTTTGTCTTGCGCCCAGATACCTTCCTCCAAAACAGCGATTCTTGGTGTGGGGTCCAGGCAAAGGAACTGCCACCCGGACCTCGCCGTGGGTCCTGTGCTGGGGTCCTGCACAGGTCACTTGTCCTCCTGTACCCACGTTTTTCTGTAAAAGGGGGTGGGTGATCGCTAGGAGTCTGGAAGGAGAAAGCTGCGCAGGTTGGTGTCTGCAGGGGGTGGTCCTATAGGTCTTTGCCTGAAAGAAGGGGTTGTGCCCTGCTGTGGAGGGCCTTTGAAGGCTGCGGGCATGGTGCTGGAGGGGAGCCGGGGTCTCATCATGCCCCCTCCCCTACTGCTTCACAGCTGTGTTAGATG